TATTTTGATTAACACCATAACGCATAAAGATGGATTTCCAAAGTTGAGGAAGAAAATTAGTTTTTCTAACATGAGGGGGAGATATGATAGATAGTTGAGAAAAAGTTACATGGAATGAATTATCATTTGTATATCTAGATGCTCGAATAAGATAATATGAACTTAAAATTCATAAAAAGATAATTCATCTGCAATGCAAAGCATGCCAAACGCATTTGCTGACCCAAAGAGAGTAACTATATTTCACTGCAAATGCTCCTATTAGAATAAGTCCTAGAAGGACAAAATCTATGGTACGTTTAAAGCGTATAGACAAACCGGTTTCAAATAAAATTCTTGATAAAGAAGATGAGCAAATGATCATAATAAGAAGGCAAGTGATCTAAAAGATCACATGACATAACACTTCATAAAATCTTTGGAGAGGTTCAGGTGTCTGAAAATATAAATTGAGAGATTTCTATGTTATGTCTTTATGAAAAAAAAGAGATTGGAACCGATGTAAGATGTTCGTCGACTACATCTATGATAGCGCTAAGTATAGATGAGGATCTTAAGTTTGTCGAATACAAACACAAAATTATTGGCCAAATGAAAGTGATACAATTCGAATAGAAATGGTTCCATATGAAGGACATATAGTTTTGGACATGTAATTCAAACACTTGAAAGTATAAAGTCAATAGAGTGTGCAATCACTTTTATCTATCTTATATGTCTAGCATGCCATGAAAACTTGATATGCATCTAAACTCTATTTATATGGCTTATATGACAATCTCTGAAAGATTTAAATCGCTTAAAGCATATACAATTCTTGGTCCTGAAGTACCACATCCTAAATGTAAATTGTGCACATATGTATCTTGCTATAACTATAAGCATGATAATGTGATAGCAAAAATTTTTACCTTTATAGAGATATTGAAAAGATCATTCCACGACATTATATGAAGACATATTTATCAAGAATGATGATTTCAAGGTGCAACTTATTTATTCAAGTTAATATGGCTGATTTGTTTATCAAATCTCTACCAATGATCTTTTGAAGATGATGAACATGATTGGAATGTGAAGGCTCAAGGATGTGAATTGATGCTCTCATCAGGGGAAGTTAATATGCTTTGTACTTTTTTTTCCTTATAAGATTTTGTCCCACTGGATTTTTCTTGCAAGGTTCTTAATGAGGCAACCAAAACACGTTGTACTCTTTTCTCTAGAACTTTTTTCCCACTGAGTTTTATTTTAGTTAAGGTTTAACGAGGCACATTATCTGTTGAATAGACATTCAAGGGGGAGTGTTATAAATAGAATTATATTTAAGGTGAATGTCTATATTTTAGAGAGATTTTAAGGTTTGTTACTTGGTGGCTAAGTCACTTTTCTCTATAAATAGAGGGTATCTGTTCCATTGTAATTCATCCCAAATCAATAAGAATTTTCTCTCTACTTCTCTATGCAATACTCTTCTTCCTCTTTTATTGTTTCATAACAATGCATTAATTTTTGCATTACAATTCATATATTCCTAATCTTTGAATAATTTGTCATTACACCAAACATCACATGAAGGGTACGTGCACTTTTTTTTTCCGCGGTACGTGCAGGGGCGTATCTAAGCCTAATTTATGGGGACCGTGAACCTATGGTCTCTCCGCCAAACTAGATATTTTATGTACATATTTTTTCAAAATTGATCTAATATTATATGGCGGCACCCATGCTCCAGAACAGCTAAATGGTGCACTTGATTGAATGTTGAGTTATTCACCTAAAGGAGCAGGGATCAATTCCCACTTACTACTTTTTTCCCTTCTTTCTTTAGTGGTGCACTCATGTTATAAAAATCCTAGACCCGCCTCTGCGTACGTGCACCTAAATGGGTATATAGAGAGACAGTTGAGCTATTTAACTTTTTGTTTGAAATTTTTGAATTTGAAATTTATGTTCTTTCACATAAAAATAACATATCTAACATTTGATACATCTCATATGTTCTCGCACTCTAAAATCCACTACCGACCGTCCGGGTGGACCGAATCCAGATGTGATTCCAGAACTGGAATATATGTATATGTATATCAGTGGCTGAAAATTATACTATATAAATAGGGTAAATTTTTTTATTTATTCTTATATGTGAGCTATTAAATTCCCGTGGCATAAAGAAACATTCATGTATTGTGTTGAAGAGCGTTTAAAAGTTGCTTTAGATTATAGGCTTAAATCCCAACTATGACATTTTTTTTTTTTTTAATCTGCTTGTATAAATTTTTGGTTCCAAAACTGACCTATACTGTTAAAGATATAAAATGTATCAATTATCAAATACACAAAGATCCTAGGTACTCGCGTTTTGTTACATTTTTCTGTTGGAGTTTTTCATACTTTCCTAAACGGGAGTATATTTTGCACCGACTTCTTGATAGCACGTAGTTGGATCCACGTGACTGTAATTAGGGATATTGTTCGGAGTCGATTTTTTCCTAAAAAGAAACCAAACTAAGTAAGTCGTTTTTTCAAATATTTGAATCAAATCAAATCAATTAAGTCGGTATTTTATCGATTCGGTTTTTTTGGTTTTTTTGATTATTTATCGGGGGTTTTCTTAAATATGAGACACACTACCAAACGCATATTCCGGCGACCACATTTTTAATGTAACACTATCAAATCAATTGCTCTTTGAGAAATCTACTATTTACCGAGACATATTGATGATAATTAAATCAAATAGTGATGAATAATTTAAGTACTCAGTTAAAAATTGATTATTTTTAACATTAAATAAATTTTTGTACTTAGCAAAAGAAAACTACCAATCAAACTAGAATGTAAAGGCATTGAATTAGATTAATATAATAGCAAAGAACTAGACTAAAAATACAAATGACTAATATGTACCATAAAATTTTATAAACTTTATATAAAAATATACATATATAATAATAAATTTAAATAGCTACTTTTATAGTTGGGTTGATTCGTTTTTTTTCGATTATTTTTTGATTAAAACCAAACTCAAACCAAATAAGATCGGTTTTTAAAATTCAAAACCAAAACCAAACCAAACCAAACCTAAAAATATCTTCTTCTTTTTTGTTGGTTTGGTTCGATTTTCGGTTTGGTTCGATTTTTCGGGTTTTTCTGAACACCCCTGACTGTAAGAAAGAAAACAATAATTAGTAGATGTGACAATCGCTTAGGTTCCTAAATCAATGAATTAATTACACATAAGATAACTTATATAATTAAATAAGTGACAGAATGAAGCTTTGTTGGTAACTTAATTTTTCCTACTAACGAGCTTTGCACGCTGGATGGCTCGGTTAATTTTATAGGCATCTACTGAGATTTCCGTCATAAGACAAAAATGTTCAATTATTTCAAACTTAAAGGATCAAATGGGTTCGAATAATAAAATTTGGGCAAAATTAAGCATATTTCCTAATTAGAGGAACCATTTGGGTTACAGAACTCTCTTTTGGACACTGATATGATAAGTTAAGTCATTTTATACAAATTGAATACTAAAAGCTTATAACATGAAGCTACCTTCCAATGACATTCGTTTAGAATATAATATTTTCTCCGTCTTAATTTATGTAGTACTTTTTATTTTTCGATAGTTAATTGGACTAAATTTTGAAGCTAAATTAGATTTGATCAGCTCAATATTTTAAAAGTAAAATTTTGATATTTAAAAAACTATATTAAAAGTACTATAAGTTGTAATTTTTCTCATGTCAAATATGATGATAAATATAATTTAAATATTGGTCAAAGTTTACCTAGTTTAAATCTCCAGAAATGAAAGTTGACATATAAATTAGGACAGGGGAGTACTAAGTTTTGGTGATAGGTTAATGTGAGATGTCAAGTACTACTAACAAAATAACGTGGGACTAATTTCGAATTAAGTTATACTTGACGGACTAAAACAACATTTTGCATAAACGGAAGAACGTTTGCTTTAGAATCTATTTGGAAAGCCATCGGGTAATTGGATTTGGTGTAATTACTAGGGTAATAATTACACAGCCTAGTAATTATACAGTTGTGTAATTACGACGACCTATTTGTTTGTCATAGTGTAATTACAGTCTAATTACAAGTTTACTGTTTGGTTGTACAAGTGTAATTACACAGTTAGATTAAATTTTAAATACAGTAATTATCAAAACTTAAAAGGTAATATAATAAATGTATGCCTATAAATGTTTATAAGTATAAATGATATTATATTTGGTATTTAAGATATATATTTTTTGTGAATATACATTAATTAGTAATCATATATTTATAACTAATATTGTAAAAATAATTTATATATATATATATATTCCAAATTAATAATATTTAATTTAGATACTTACAAAAACTAAAAATATATGTTTTGTAAGAACATCATGGAATTCATATTTGATAAAATAAATTTATATTTATAAATATGATGTCAAACATTAATGAAATGTTTGATAAAACTAATCTATCAATTCTAACTAAAAAATGAACAACATGCAATGTGAGGCAATATTGCTAAAATAAGTAAATTGGAACCATGAATATAATATAATATCAAAATTCAAAAAAAATAAAATAGTTTAACATATGTCAAATTCCGACATAATAATTGTAAGTTCCACTACAACTTAAGATTAGGAAAGATAATAAGCTTATAACCACATTCAACAACGAAATTCCACTTTAATTGAATCACTCATTATATGCCAAATTTGTTAGTGACTCTAATATTATGAGGTGTAGTTTCAAAAAATAAAATAATAAAATAAATAAAAATAAAATAAAATATAAGCAATTACGTGGAATCACAAAAAGTAAAGATAGAGAAATAAAAAATAAATAATGTACAAAGAAATTAAAAAATAAAAATAAGATTTAAAAAGTAAAATAATAGAAATAAAAATTAAAAAGAAAATAAATAAAATAGAAACAAAAACTAAAAAGCGTGTAATTAACACCAATTCTCGGAGATTCTAATTACAGCCGTTCATAGAATCTGACTTGTTAAAGTGGACCGTGAGCTAAAACTTCGCCGAAACGCAGCTTCTCTGGAGCTTCGATAGAGCCATGGACGCATTGGCAAAGCTGGAGAGAGTCCAGACTCGACTCCTCAAACGCCTATCGAACCTCGAATCTTCTCTTCTCTCTCAACATTTCTCTCAAAACCTCTCTCTATCAACTTCCACCACAACCGAAGATCGCCTTTCCGGCATTCTTCGCGCTAACGGCGTCGTCGATTTCAGCTTCAAACGCGTCCCCTCTGATTACTATGATTTGCCGCTCGAAGCTCGTCGTGACATTGTCAGTGCCTCATCCATTCAACATCTCTGCAAAAGCATTGTTCTGGTACCTTCTCTTTTCGCAATTCGTGTATTATTTTATCGGATAATTAACTCGTAATTGTACCTATGTTTTTAAATCAGTCAATGCGTAGTTGTACAATTCATGTGAGAAAAATGTGAAACTTGTTTTCTCACTTTGGATAAGCAGCAGAAGGTTGCTTGCATTTTAGTACAAGCGTTGTATTGCTATATATAGCATTGTATAAATGCAACTTACTGGACGAAATTTAGCCTTTTTGGATTATGAAAGACGAATTTTTTAGATGATGTGAGTTGGGATAGGGAAAATGTAAAAAAGCGGTAAAAAGTTACTGTGTTGCCTTGAGCTATATTAAGTTTTTGAATCAAATATGTATATGAAGCTTTCTAAAGTAGCAGTGAAGAAACAACCCTTGGTGATCATTGAGATAGTTCTGCCTCTATATCTTCTAACTCATTTTAAAAAAACAAATAATAAAAAGGAAGATACTTCATTGTTTTTTACTACTATAAGATTTGGTTTGTATCATTCAACCGTGCTTCTATTGAGACATGTCAAACACAACTACAGTTATCTTAATCTAAATGATTTTGTATCTGCATAGACTGATACTTGGTGTCATCTAAATCTGCAATTTTGATGGTGAAAATTGTAGGATATTGAGCCTCCTTAACTTTGAATCCATTCATAGTCTCTGATACTCTTTGTCTTCAATCCATGTCGAAATCTTTATAAATTAATAATGCAGGTAAATACTCAAGCCGCATCCAATATTACTGATTGTAGTGATCGTAACAACTCAAAATACTACGTCGTCGTTGTACAGGTAACTATCTGCAACTTTTGTTCAAGATCTAGGAACACTATTCCAAATACTACATAATGTTAACTATTTTGATTAACAGTATGCTGCTCGATTTAATGCTGAGGCTGTAAAGAATTTTCTGTACAATCTCAACGATGGCAAGATAGCCAAGAAAAAGTTCAACCGTAAGTTATATCTCTATATTACAAAAACATGCATTTGGTCTAATACTTAAGGTAATCAGAAAACTGAATTGGATTAGCATACAACTTCGGATAATCGTAACTGTGTATGAAGTTATTGAACAAAGACTGTTATTCTTTTGTAGATAGATCAATGAGAACTGTTTTATTTTGATTGTACCAAGAATAGACTTCCCAGAAAAGTACATTTTAGCTGTATAGATTATCGACCCATACATAAGCAAAATTATCGATATTTATATGAGGATGCATATATTGCAAAACTGAGTGTTCTGCTCTTGTTTGAGTAATAAAAATTCTAACCTTTTCTCTTTCTCAATTTAGTTACAATCTTTAGAAACTTTACAAATCAAACGTTGACCTTGCATATCAAGAGACAGACTGAGAGATGCGTCCTGAACGAGGTCCCTTTTCCACCTATTTAATGGTCAAAATGAAAAGAAAATCGGATACATTTGAGTGTACTCGTGACACACTTCTTTCTTTTGTGGGGTAGGACCATAGCAATTATTTGGGCATTACTTGATCTTGGATGCATTTTTGTTTTTGCTTTAGTGCGTTAGGGAACCCAATGAATGGTAGTTGGAGTGGTGTTAATCTAATATGTTTAGTGCAACTCATGAGTAGGAATGGACCCGGAGTAAGGATAGCAGGTCTACTATCTAATTTACTGCAGTAGACTAACTTCTCGCTAATGCTACTCTTAATTTTGTGATGCCAAGCTAGAACAGCAGGCCATTATTTAAGTTTGACATTGTTAATGGTGTCAGCAGGCCCCTAAATATGTTAGAAGGGGTGTCTGGCAGCATGAAGTTCAGGAACAAATTGTTATTCTAATGTCTGGATGGCCAAAAGAATCTCACGCTGGAAAGATTTGATTGTGCTTCTTTACATAAATGGTTTACTTTAACTTGCTGGATTCATAAAGTTCCTTGAACTCATGTCAGTAACTCTCTTTGAGAAACTCTGAAGTAAATCATTGAGAGGCGCAGTGACTGTTTTAACTGTATTTGGCATTTGGATACATTGCTATACTACAACAAGAATGACTATTGAAAAGCATACTTTTTGCTCAGGGAACGTTGAGCAAACAACGGAGGTTATGATGATGGACTTATTTTGTGCATTCTTCCTCTTCATTCATATATCTTTTAATTACTGACTTGCTATAACCATGTCTTTACTGGGAACAAATAGAGTTTGATGCTCCAACTTTATGAGGTGTAATGTCTTCTGTGGTGTCTGCATTATGTTTGAGTACTTCATATAGAATAATGTTAGCCACTGGATGTTTTTTGCAGTGAGACTGGCTACTGAGGAGACATCAGTAAAGCTGACTGGTTATGAACACAATGCAGTCACATGTATTGGCATGAGAACCAACATACCGGTACTCAGTCTCTTTGTTCTTTCACCGAAATTGTCATAATGTTCCCCAGTATTCTTCTGTTTACAGTTAACATATGAACTGTTCCCATGTCACTCTCCACTTTAGTTATTGAAATGTTGTGCAGCTCATCACACTCATTACTTTCTCTAATGCTGCAGCTGATGTAGCTAATGCCATATCAGCTAGTTTCTGAGCTGCTTCTAATGAATGCCAATATTTGTGATGACATTCTCTAATGCTGCAGCTAATGGTACCTAATTTCCATATCAGCTACTTCTGAGCTGCTTCTAATGAAATCCAGGATTAGGTGGATAATCACACTAATGAAGATATTAACTTGACTGGAACACTCCTGTTGTAATCATTGATTCCTCTAAAGTATTGTTGGTTAAACCACAAAACATCTGTCTCTCTTGCCTCCTGCACTCATGTGCATTACATCAATGTGTATTAGGTAGTGCAGCCTTCTTGTACACTGCTGTTTGCTGTAGCTTGAACAAATTGGGCCCTGAGATCTAGTTGCCTGTGTCTTGATTCCTGTCACTCTCTTGCTTACACCAATTGCTAATAATATGTGATATATGCTGACGGGTCCCCGGTCTACCACATTTAGATGGGAAGTGGACTAATTGGTATGTGTTTTACTCTCCATCATTCTTTTTTATTAATGGACTCTATGCTATTCATTGTGCCAGCTTCTCACTGTTCCTAAAATCTGTATCTGTCAATGTTGTTGATCTAGAAATGCAGCCTGCCAGTTTTTCTCACTTCTTCATTAGCTCAGATTAGAGGCCACTTCCTTGAAGTTTTAGACCCCTTTGTAGAACATTACTACTCTTTTGCCTATAATTAAATTACATAGAGAAGCTTACTTTTTGCAACTAGTAGGCAGACGAGCAAAGGCCACTGAAACTTGCTAAACTAAAGAGTTATCTATAGTAGCTAAACGTAATCTTTAAAGTGATAGGCGAAGTACTTTATTGATGATTCTCTTGCTAGTACGTTATTAAATTCTTCAGCCATAGACATCCACGGTTTAAGCCGAACATCAATTTCTTACTACTCAAACTTGTAATTATTCACCCGATACCTGAGGTTCGCGTTATACTTTCTGTTGCAGTGGAAAGTCCCAACTATTGTGGAAAATAGTGCTTTTCTACTATATCTTGTACTAATTCTTACTAATTTTAACAGGTGATTTTGGATGAAGCAATCACCAAGCTCAATCCTGACTTCTTCTGGTTCGGAGGTGGCGAGATTGATCTTAAAATGGGGATCAGGACATCAGAGTTCATCAATTTTTTGAATCCATTCATTGTCAACTGTAGCAGTGGTTAAAGGTCTCCATTCAGACAAAGTCAGACTCAAAGAGGGAAAAAGACGGGTACTGTCACATGCATTTTTCTCCTCGAGACCTACACAATCCATACACAGTGCTTCTCTTTGATTTTTGCTCCAAAATTGATTTCCAGGTTCACAAAATGATTGTAGTCCGTCAAATAGTTAGGTCCCATTGCACCTGAATTATCATCTCGACCAAATGGATCAATGATCGGTTTAAACGTCATGATATAAGTTGTCCTGCGCTCAGGTTCTTACAAATGGAATTTATTAGGTGCATTTTAAATTACTTTTCCCCTCCTTGTTTCGCATAATGCGATCCGTAGTGACAGCAAATGCTTCTCTCTTTATTGATGTTTGAATTGTAAATTAGAATAATTATTTTACGACATCTAAACCTTTGGTAATTAGGATTTAAGTAACATAACTGTAATTGCAAAGAACTTTTAGTCTATACTGTAGTTTAATGTGTTGTAGTAGGTTACTCGTTACTTTTTTTCAGGTTACCAGTCCTCAATTTAGGAAGTTATTTGTAATTTTTTTAAGTGACTTGATTATGTAAATATATATTCATGACACCCCATGTGAATCCCACATTGATAAAACACAGGAGACATGCTGGATAATTGAGTAAACAAGCCTTAAACCCAAGTGATGTGTTTTAAAATCGTGTGAGCCTAGGCTTAGAACGAACAATATCACCAGTGGACTTGGGTTATTACATATGATATAGGATTTGAACTTGATTAGAGCTTTATATGTTAATAGTGTATAAAAAATTAGACGATTACTTAAAAGTAAACAAGAGACAACAATCTGCAATAAACGTACATAAATATATATTAAGCGTACGTGTTGAGTATTTTCACATTGTCAGTAAATAGAAATTAATTCAAACTATATCTTCGACCTCAACCATGACACTCTTCCAACCCCAAGGCTGCGCGCAAATTGGAGTGTTGCGAACTAAAATTCAAAGACAAGAGTGACAAATAGCAACTTTGTTTGCCTCCCTATGGTTGTGCATATGATAAATGACAAGAATAGATTTGGTTTCTTGGATATCAAATGCAAAAGACCAAAGAAGGGACAGTGCAGAAACTAACACATAACTCTACATCATTAAATAAGAAAACCAACCAACACATTCACGGCAGAGAGACCACCACTCCATTTCACTGCTATTCTTTTTCTACTAGTATATATTTATTACATATACACTTTTTAATTCAAGGCAACAGTTGATTAAAACAACACAATAATATGAGGGACCATATCCACCCACATCATGCCCTAAAACCTCAATCACCATGCATTAATGTAACACGTGACGATAACACTGATATTTCTTGCTAGGGCTTTTGCATTTCTTAGAATTTCTATTTGTACATATATGGAATATCGTATCATATACGAGTATTCTTTCTTATGTAGGATTCTCCTTCATTTGCGAAAAAAACAAACTGAAAACCGACAGACTCACGTATATATATAAACGAGAAAGCAAAATACATATAAGTATGTTTTTTCATCTACTAAGATATAAATATATAAATCTAGTGTTTAGTGTTGTGAATAGGTGGTTTTCGATGGGGTTGAGCATAGTCCATAACCACCACGTCTTCCACAGGGTCTTTTTCAATGGAGTTCACTGCTTCTTCCTCATGTTGTGCTGATGGTGGAGTTTCTAGAATAACTCGTGACTGCCTCCACAACGTCTGCATACAAATATGAATTCTAAATTAAACATTTTCTTTTGTATAAATATTCATGCACATTTAACCGAAGAGTTTGAACTCGTGTAACTTTTATACTATGAACTCACTTAAAAGATAATTATACGTAACCGTCTATAAAAAGTGAGATTAATAACTTAAAAAATAAAGTGAAATACTATGTAGTATATAAGTGAAATACTTAATATAAAGTGAAATACTATGTAGTATATAAGTGAAATACTTAATATAAAGTGAAATACTATGTAGTATATAAGTGAAATACTTAATATAAAGTGAAATACTATGTAGTATATAAGTGAAATACTTAATATAAAAGATGGTCTGTTTACAAGCGTAGAGATTGGATACTTATTGCTCTTGACTTTGTGCATGTCAATACACAATATTGAAAGACGGGATTGTTATTAATAGCTAAAAAGATCAATATGCGATATATTACAAGATGTAAAATCAGCTGAATTTTAAATAGTTTTATTCTTCCTAATGATTAAGTAATTCTTGGGTTACAAGAAAATTTTACTCTTTCTCATAGTATTTGAGTCTAACACTTGATTCCTTCAAGGTATACTCTGTCATACTAATATATTTTCAGTGGCATAAACACCAATTATATCGTGTGTGTGTATATATATATATATAAAGAGAGAGTTAGAGCTTTACCTTTACTTGAGCTCCTTCTTGAATTGTCATGACTTTGTTTCCTGTTATAAGTCACACCACATATTTCGTCATTTATAAAAGTTAAAGGGTTAGAAGTAGGAAAATAAAGAAGTGCATTCATGATCACTTCGAAACGGAAGCAATGAGTTCTTTTCTCTTTCTTCCTTCTCAACGTCTCTATTTATAACTTGTTGAAAATATTGTCACTCTTAACATGGAAAAGTGTGAAATTGAGTTCTAAAATATCCAAGCAAGGATAGTTTAGTTAAGTTACAAAGGAAGAACTATAATGCTACATATTTTAAAATGTGTGGATGTTTTTGCATAGAAAGAAGAAACTCAAACGGAACACTAGAAACTATGAAAATTGATAGGTTTCAACAAGAATGGAAATATTTAACGTGGTGCAAATTAATGAACTAGCTAATCTTATCCAATACCTTTAATTTCTTCTCCATCTTCCTTTCGTGAGACATTTGATCTCTTTTTCCACATAAGTTTTGCATCATCCCGACTTCCACTTCCATTATTTTCAGACGTGATTCTTCCTTCTGTTTTAAATGTGTCCCTTGTCAAAAATGTTACATCCTGCAAACAAAAAGTAAATTATAGTCAAATCAATTTTCTTAACTTACCTAATCTCCACACCAAAAGAAAGAGATAATATATATAAGCTTCAAACAAGAAAATAAAAAAAGAAATATTTGTAAAGCAAACCTTGGCAAAGAGCTGTATTCTGTTTTCTTCATCAGTAGTTGTTGCAAGTGGTCTAGCACTGCATGCATGGAGAGAAAGACAAACCAAAAGATAAACAAGAAACTTAGACATATTGACAATTTTTTCCCCTTCTTTTTCGTTCTTTGCGAGAGCTTATGAATAGGGTATTTATCAGATTTGAGAGAGAATAGTTGTAACTTTGTAATGGTAGCTAGGGTTGTGGGATTGGCAATGAATCATACTGGGGATATATGTAGTGTGGAAAAGGGCAATGAAATGCATTAAATGCAGGTTTTGTAGGGAGATGAACGTAGTTGTGTCAAGAGAACATGCAGGTGATCCCTTCACAACAATTTTGAAGATATTGGCGGCCTCCCCATGTCCCCTCCTCCTTTTAATTTCTCAATCAGCAAAGGGCCCATTATTTAGACCTCGTAAGAATGTGTATAGTTGAGGTGTGCGCAAGCTGATTTGGACATCATCATTTTTTATATTGTATTGATCGAGAGATTGGACTGTTATCTCTCGTATGATTTTGGGTAATTCTTTGGCACGAGTTAGTTAACTATTAATTGAGTTAGGTCTAATATTCATTTTCTAAACATGTCCATTTTTTCATATGCTACATGTGTTAAACTCATGCTTTTTATTGTGTTTCTCGGTGTTGGACACCATGTTGTGTTATTAAGGGGCTGAACCACACTGTAGTTACGGGTTCGACAGTGTTAAAAAGTTCATTTAGTATGTACAAATAATATATTCAGAATTCAATAAGCAAAATAAATTAATAATATATTATAGTCCAAAACCTATAAAGTAAAAATTTTGGCTCCATCTTTGATATTTTCCATACTCCAATTGTCCAGCTTTAGGCGTAGAAGACTGTTGGACTCAAATCTAAAATAATATTTGGCAATTCTCATTTCATATTTTACGATTGATTATGCTCAAAATCTATTTTCATGGCACCATGTGTAAATAATAATAATTTTTTAAAAAAAAAAAAAAAGAAAGAAAAAAAGAGGAAAGACCTCCAAGATTTTTTTAAAAAATACATAGGTAGAACCATAAGAGCTTCTTCGAATCATTTGCTTAACATCGCACTCTCTTGCCGACAGTGGAAGATAGAATTAGAGTTGGAGCGAATTTTCCTTTAAATTGCCTACGGGCTACATTTTGAGTGAATATCAATTCCTTTTAATAATTTGATCAATCTTATTTGTTATTTAATACATGTTTTAATTAGGTCAATCTTATTACTGGAGCTCAACAATGACAAAAAGAAAAGGAAAAGGGCTAACGAGGGATCTGGAAAATACATGTCAAACACAAAGGTAATTAATGTAGTCAAAATGTGACTTATGATCTGACATGTTAGTAAAGACTTATGCTGTTCTTGACGTGATTGGACTCCTTTATAACAACCCTATCTCCATGTAAGATGAAGCATTTAATAGTATTGCATAATTACATTGATGAATGATCATAACATAACTCATACAATAAATGTAAGAATAAGAGAATTCTAGGACCTGCCCCATGTGTTTCTGCAGGTTTCCTATCCTTCATATCTTTGAGTAAGATTCTCAGCACGGCTATCGTAAATGGCACACATTAATTTCCCCTTATTTTGTAAGTAGTAATTACCTTTGCTATATATGGTGTTTCCTAAAATTATATTGCACAAATTTTGTTATCTTGCTAACGAAGGAGAGTTTTGGAGGAGCAACGATAAAATTATCTCCGTGTGACCCAGAGGTTCGAGTCGAGCGGTGTGGAATCAATTGTTGGCGCTTGTGTTAGGGTAGACCGCATACATCATATAAACCCCTTGAAGTGCGGTCCTTCTTTGGACCTTGCGTCAACACGCCAAATGTTTTCGTAGACCAGATTATCCTTTTTGTCATCTTTCTAAACTTGTCCTATATAGCCCTTTTAAGGTTGGAAAAACTGGTTCACTTGCACATGCATTTGTTCTTTGCTTCTCAAGTTACTGTTCAGATTTGAGATAGGAAATTCAACAGTCTGTTTTCAAATATAAGGATGATTCCTTAATCTTCATCAGTTCGCTCAATATCAGGTTTGAACATAGAAAAGAATATGTAATGAAGTCAGTGATTCAGTTTAATTTGCTGCTTAACTATACAAATGTATTTCTCCTTTCCACATAATAAGGATGTCAAGACTTTTTTTGTCAAACAGTTGGCAATACATTAGATCGACCTGCTAACCACCGAAAGATTTGAGGATGAGAAGAAGCTCTTTGCTCTAGCCTAAAAAACAAAAGGAAAAAAAATAAAGAAAATAAAAGAAACCGAAGAAACAGCCACTCCTCCTTTAATATGCTCGTCATTTCTTTGCTAGTCTTAGACTTGACCATAGCTCATGCAACGCCGACGTCTAGAGGCGGAGCCAGGTCCGTTTAAGTTATTGAGTTCCAAATTAATAATTTATACATATTTAATAAATTTTTAAGACAAATACAGAATCAAAGCTACTGAATTCGGCCGAACCCATAAGACGTATGCTAGCTCCGCCCCTGCCGGCATCATTAGTTATGCTTCCCTTGGGATACGTCCTTTCGGAGACATTTGATAAAATTAAAATGATACAAAGAAAATTAACATGCACAAATCGAGAAATTCCTTTATGTGATAGAGTTCCCATGATATTTTAACACTAACCCTCTCATTGTTGGAAATATTTATCATCCTCGTCAATGCAAAGAAATCTAATTTATCATCAAAAGATTTTTATAAGCACTACTAGCTAGTCTCGACTCATGTTATATTTTTCCTTTCCTCGAATAGATGTTAATACACGATCAAGGGGAGAAGATAAATGGTTCGTTTGCTCTGAATGGTAAAACAGAAGTAAAGAATAGTGCAAAACGAGGACGTGGTTTGTGGTACAATTGACGTTTGTTTACACCAGAATACAGTATATATCACGGCTATAACTATGGGAGCCCATGTGGAATTTTGCAGGCGGAACAAGGATTTCATCCTTATGGGTTCTGATCAATTTTAGAACGACGACTTCAAGTATTAGTGTCAGAGTTCGCAATAATCTAATATTTGTACATATTTAATGAATTCTAAACACCAAATATATTATTTGGGCAGAAACTACTGGGTTCAGCCAAACCTGTAGTTCAACTTGTGCTTCCTCCTTGGCTGCGATAAAAAGGTTTAATTAACTTAATTCTATGTGCATATTATATAAAAATATATATACAATCAGATTATTCATAATGTAATTACAGATAAATCTTATGATAAATACTATAATAACATGATAAAAGTGATAATTAACATGTTATAATAGCTAAAATTACACGATTTTTAAAAAAAATCTTACTTCATAATGTAATTACAGATAAATCTTATGATAAATACTATAATAATAATAAGATGATAAAAGCTAGCGGTAATTAACATGTTATAATAGGTAAAATTACATTGACTTATTTTAAAAATCTTACCTATCAATATATATATAATTTAAATCCCTTAAAATTGAAATGAAAGAAGCAAAAGATGAGTAGGCTTAACATATAAAAACATATGGGACCCTATAAGGAATGGGAGTTTGGGACCTGAGGCTGAGGGAGAGGAAATTATGATTTTTGGGAGACAAAGTAGCATGGCCATACCGCCATTGGCATTTGGCACCCAACACTCCATGACATGTGGGTCCCACTCAAGCATGCCACGTGGCATGTAGTCCCATGTGCCCTAGTCATGTGAAAAATAAACAAAATTAATGGCCAACCTCTCCTACTATACTATTCCCCCTTCTTTCTCCAACAGATGACCATTTTAGTGAATCAAAGAAAATCTCCATTGGAAATCCCTTAATTTGGTGTTTTTGGCTTATTGTTCTTTTGTTGTTTGGTTGGTCTGTTCAGGTGGTATCACCCAGCAGACAGAGTAATTAGTCCTTGTATATCTTAACAATATCGTGAAGGAGAGCTTCAAACGATAATATTCTCTTTGTATGACCTCTATATAGAGTGATGGAATCATTACTAAATACATTTGTGTCGGTGTAGGTTGACTACAACAGACTCTCTTGGAATGCGATCCTTTTCAAGATCCTGCAAAATACGAAATACTTTATTCACTCACAAGCTGCCCTTTATATCTTAAGGGGTAGTTTGGTATAAAAGATAAGGATAATAATCTCAAGATACAATTTGGAATTGTATTTATTCCATATTTGGTTATAAGTAAGTTTTATGCTAAACTGATGGGATAGATATCTCATATATATTCTATCCTTATTTAGTTTACCATTGTACCAAACAATCCCAGATTACAATATCGTGAATGATGTGTACTTAAACTTATAGTGTTCCTGTTTGTGCGAACTTAAGTAGACAAAAGTTGACATTTACCTTCCCCGTCTTTATCCTGTTTTGCCTGGAAATCCCAGTATTATTAGTCCTTGTGTGTATGTCTGTGTATATATGGATAGACTGATAGAGTAATTAAGTTCTTGGTACTGATAATTTTAGTTTACGTATGTCAACCAATAATTTTTCACAAGAAGCCTAATATTGTAACTTAAAAGCTAGAGTATTAATTTGTTATATAATATAACTGATTAAATTGTACTGGTAGTATAAAATTCTAGATATTATCAATACCTATAACTTAAATCCATATGAATATAAACATTATCAACGTGCATGATATGTGATAATCGGCTTAATGTATGCATATTTTGATATATATCACCTCACATTTTACTCATGTCTCGACGATTTAAGATGTTTAATATGATTGTTTGTACTAAATTTTGGTATTTCTATGTGTAGGAATCATTCGGATGCAATTTGGGACGAAAGGGCGCGAATTGGAGCGAAATCGGGACAAAATCGCAAAAATGGAAATTTGAGGGCCACAGCCAGCGTGGGGCGCTGGCTGTGGCGCACTTTACAGAGAACAAAGAGTTTGAGCGCCAGGGCCAGCGCCCCACGCTGCCCTGGACGCTCAAGACGGGAAGTCTCCTTTTTTGACTAGGACTCGGTTATTTCGATCCCTAGACGCCCCCAACTCATATAAAAGTTAACCTAAACCTATTTTTAAAAGGGGGACCGTGATTTAAAGGAGGGAAGAGGCACAAAACACTCAAAAGCAAGGATTTGATCAATTCTTCCATCCCTTTCCTAGTATTTATTGATTTTATGTTTGAAAACATTATTTTTGATGATTGTATGAACATGAGTGGCTAAGAAACCTATTGTTCTAGGGTCATGGGTATACATGAATGTTGATGTTTGGTGTTT